GGGAGTCATGGGTTCTTGGGAGCTCCTGGAAGGGAGCCTTGGCAGCTTCCTAACGCCGGGCTCCCACTCTGGCACGGGCCCTGGGAGAAGCGGAGACTGGCGGAGGAGGGATGGTGTCTCCCTGGGCTGCTAAACCAGGCTCACCCTGGAGAGGGCCCATTCTCCTCGCAGAAGGGGAGGGGCAGGAAACCCCGGGCACTCTGGCAATTTAGCTCAGATTTCCAAGGCTCCAAGATGTTCCCAGGTCAGACATGGGGTGGGCAGAGAGCGGAGGCCTGAAGTCAGGAAGCAGAGCCCTGCTGCATTTGGGAACCCCGGTCCTTTGGTCCCAGGGTCACCAAATTCTCACTTGCCACCCCCAAGAGGCAGGTCACCCTTCTAGTGGACACCGCTGAAAATCCACACAGAGCTACCGCCCCCCTCTGCAGAGGCCCCACTCAGGAAGCTGCCCCAGGATTCCAAAGCCCAAGGCCTGAGGACTAGTAGAAATGAATGGTAGCTGAGGCAACCTTCTCACCTGAAGAGCCGAGGCTCCCGGATGTGCTCGGGCCCCAGGGCCATGCCCCGCATGTACTCGTAGCACAGCCCGTTCTGGAAGGTGCAGTAGAGTTTGGGGGCGCAGCCGTGTGCTCGCAGTAGCTGGAAGTTCTTGACCTCATTCTCCCGGTCCACCAGCAGCTCTGTCCGCTCCCCGTACACCCGAACCAGCACACAGTCCCGCATGTCCTCCTCCACGTAGCAGGCCACCAGCTTGTTGGTGATGCCGTCAGTGAAGCGCTAGCAGAGGGAGAGGGGAGCGTAAGCATACGTGGGGCAGGGTCTCTGCTCTTGCCCCAAGACTCCCCAGCTCCAGCACGGGGTGCTCATTTGAATGATTCGCATGCGGAGCACAACTACTACCGCGCAGAAGCCCCCATCCTTCAGCCCTCTCGGGCTGAAGAGTTCGAGAAAGAAAAAAAATAACCACCCCATGCAGCCTCACTTCTCCTGGGTCTGCCTCTAGCGGATGGGACCTGGCGGCAGAGGCATTCCCACACTCCCTGGTGAGTAGAAGTCCCCTCCGCCTTTTCACTCCTCCATCCCTGAAAGAAAACTCAATGGCCAGAATGTGGTCAGGGAAGGTCGGGAGCTGCCCAGGATGTGTACCTTCAACCCAGCTGCCTCTCTGCCCAGACGGAGGGCTCTTTGCTACACTTCTTACCCCATCCAACAGCAGAGGTACGGGAGGTACTCAAGTTGGCACCCACCCAGGGCCTTGGTGGTCAGAGCTCCTTAGGGCCTCGGAGTTCCAAACCAGAAGACAGAAGACCACAAGCTGGGGGAGAACAGACTCTCTGGGTATGGGGACAAGAAGGAACGAACCATGGAATCTATGGGGCTCTAGAGGACATGTGAACCAATTCGAGGTGGGGGAAACTGAGGCCCAGAAAGGAGAGGGGCTGGCTGGTAGCACGCTCAATCAGTGCTGGAATTAACCTCAGACACACCTGATGGCTTGTGAGTCTTAAAACCAAAGTGGGCCTTTTATTTTGAAAATGCCACCCACCCATCCCTCCCCCTACCCCCCAAGGTGTCAGCCTCTGCAGCTGGTCTGGGAACCTGGCCTTTCCCCATCCAGAAGACCTGCCCCTCCAGCATTAAGCTGCAGGTGCCCTGCTCCTGACGCCTTCCTCCCTTCCACAGGCAGCTCCCAGAGGGGCTGGGGGGGTAGGGTGGGCAGGTGAAGACGCTTCAGAGGATGCAGATCAGCTGGGGAGTCGGCCAGAGGCTCCTCGGTGGGAGGCTCTGCCCACATCTGTGTCCCTGAGAATGTGCCCAGCTGGGGGTGGGGAGGCGCCTTGTGTGGGGGTGCTGAGCCCGAGCCCGGGGCTCTGGGGAGGGCTTCCATGCAGCGCTGGGGGCCCCGGGCTATCCAGAATGCCACACGGTGGCTCCAGGGACCGGCAGGAACCGCTCGGAACCTGGAAGGTGCAGGGATGTGTGTGTGTGTGTGTGTGTGGAGGTGGGGGGTGTCCCTTAAAAGTTCCTGCCTCCTCAGGTTTCAGCGCCGGCCGCGCGCGTTCCTCTGGGCGGCGAGGGGCACCCGCGCGCGACGACAGGGGGTGGGGCCCTCGCGCGCAGCACGCTGACGGTGGGCAGGTGGACCTCCGGCGGCCCGTGAGCCCCGGGGGGGGGGGGAGGGGACAGAGGGAGGCGGGAGCCTGGATCTGCTTCGGGACCCGAACAGACGGAGCAAAATAAATGCCCAAGCCACCATTGAAACCCTGCCCTGCGCAGCAGCCGCGCGCCCCTTGAAGCGCCACCCGGAAGGATGCACGGACAGGCGACCACGCATCCCCCCCGCTCCGGCCCCCGACAGGGCCCCAGCCCGGCCCCGCGTCCGCTCCGCTACCTTGGTCCGAACTTGCTCGGGCTTCCAATGCGGCCGCAGCTCCTGGATGAGGCGCAGGGCGCCGGGGAGGATGTCGTCCTGGTCCACGGATATGCCGAAGCAAGGGACGGCGGCGGCCCTCGGGGCGCCCGGCGGCTCCCGGCAGCCCGCGCCGGCCGCCGCCTTCTCCTCCATGCCCCATGAGCACTGCGGGCACGGCGCCTGCCGCCCCAGGTAAAAGGGCGAGCACGGCAGAGGAGCCGAAGGGGGCACAGCCATTCCCAGCAGCCCCACCCCCTCGGAGCCGCCGCGCGAGCGCTAGCCCCTGCGGGGGGGCCCGGCGCGGCGGTGGGAGTGGTAGAGGAGGGGCCAAGGGAAGTCCATGACTCAGGAGCCCGCTGCCCGCTCGGATCGGCGCCCGAAGCCGACCCGGGAACGCCGGGGCCCGCCGCGATTGTGACATCATCACGGGCGGCGGGCCGTGGGGCGGGGGCCCGGGAACGCCCCCCGCCCCGCCCCCGCCCCGGCCCGCGGGCCGCCGCGGGCTCCGCGGCCGCCGCTACCTGGAGCGCGGGGCGGGGGTGACGCCCTCGGGGAGGCCGTGACGCAGGGGGCGGGGCCTGATGTCGCCCCGCCCCGCCCGCCCCACCTCCCTTCCACCCGGGTCCCAGGCCGCGCTGCCGGGGGCTCGCTCACCGGCCTCTGAGCCGGCAGGGTGGCTGGCCTCCTTCCTCCCGCCTCGGAGGGGGCCGCTCTCCCTGGGCAGCCTGGGGCAGAGCCTGGGAAGGCCTCCTCCTGCGCCCCTACTCCAGCCTGGAGAATGGAGATCCGGCTGCCGCCAAGAGGTCGGCTTGGACTCGCCCACTCATGCCCTAGGTCCCTGTCCCCGTCCCTGGACTCCTGAATAAGGAGTCCCCTGCTGCATCTCAAAGGCCCTTCCCTGCAGGGAGCCCCCCCAGGCAAATCCTGCCTCCCCCCACGCATATACTCGAGGGAGAGGCGACATGGGGTGACGCATGTGGAGGGTGCTTTTGCTAATGGGAACCTCACTTGTCTCCAGCCCAGGCGGGAGAGCTCCCGCTGCCCCATCCAGAAAAGCGCCTAAAGAGAGGGGGCCATTTTCTATTTCCCCAAGTTGTCTCTTCGGCCTCTTCAGATGCCTTTTGACCCCAAGGCCCCTGTTACTATTGCTGCCCAGAATCCAGCTCTGCCCAGCGGAACTTCCAGAGAGTGGAAACGTTCTGCATCCGTGCTGTCCAGTGCAGTGGCCACGAGCTACATGTGACCATCCAGCACTTGCACTATGGCCAGTGTGACATTTAACTTAATTTTAATGTAAATAGCTATATGTGACTATCATGTTGGCCAGCCACAATGGGGAGGTGATGGGGAGGCATGCTACTTAAGGTCCTGGATCCCCGGGATGGCCAATTGGAAAGGACACAGACTCCAACTCCGCCTTTCTGCAGTAAGGAAATAAAGCCAGGCAGGCAGGAGAATTCAGAGAATGGGGGAGGGGGTCCAAGGCTCAGCTCCAGGGCGCTGAACACAGTCTCATGCTCTTGGCTTTGCACAGGGACATTGCAGACAGCTCCCACCTTCCAGAATCTGCCCTGGAGGAGCCCTAGGGTCCCACACAAAGAGAGGTTGCGATTCTAGAGGTATGACATTTGCCACCGCCTGCTGGGCCATTCAGTGCTTCACTTTTTTTTTTTTTTGGTCAAAAGAGGGGTGAACCATTCATGACCTCAGGTCGGTGCCCTCATTCCCCAACCTGGTAGCCCAAAGAATAAGGGTGGGAGAAGACTTCAGCCTTGTTGAGTCCCATGTCTGGGGGCAGGGGGACAACAATGTGTGGGCTGTGTGCTTGTGCACATGGCCCTTTGCCAGGGTGTATGCTGCTCTGTTCCTGGGGAAGTATACCTGCATGGGATAAGGTGGGGAGCCCCCGGAACCTGACGTAAACAGGCTGGGTTCTAATCTTTTCACATTCCAACAAGCCATCTTGGATAAATGCCTTCCATTCTCTGGGCCTCAGTTTCCCCGTATGTAAAAAGAAGAGTCTCAGGGCGCCTGGGTGGCTCAGTGGGTTAAGCGTCCAACTTTGCCTTGGGTCATGATCTCACGGTTGGTGGGTTCGAGCCCTGCGTTGGGCTCTGTGCTGACAACTCAGAGCCTGGAACCTGCTTCAGATTCTGTCTCCCTCTCTCTGCCCCTCCCCCCAATAAATGAAACATTTAAAAAGGGAATATCGGATATAGTTCCAGGTGATGCTGTCTTAGACTGAAGGTGTAAATAGCGACATGTCTCGGGGGTTGGGTGGTTTGCAGTGCATGAGAGGCAGGGTGGAGCCTGAGCTCGAGGCTGGCTTCTACCAGCTAGGGGCGTCTTTCTGACCCATGAGCTACTAGCACAGCATCAGCTCTGGTCCTGCAGGGGCTGGAGGGAGCAAACCACTGTGTGCAAATAACTCCACTTGAGTGGGGATGAATGGCATCACCCCTGCCCACAGGAGCCTGTGCACACAGGTGAGTGGGTAGTCTGTCATTTGGTGTCACATTCCTGTCTGCACAGAATACCTGGCTGTGCCTCTTGTTTCAGACCCCAGTGAATCCAGGTGCAATGAGGCTGTGAACATGAAGTCTTTATTCCATTTGTTCTCGAAGCGGGGAAGAGCTGGTGCTGGAAGCAGGGTGGGCGTCTGGGAGAGCTCTACACCCCATGTCCTTGTGTGAGAGCACAGGCGAGGGAGTATCCAAGAGAGTGCTCTAGCTCCGGGCTAGGGCTGAAGGCGAGGCCACGGGGACAGCAGAGGGCCTCAGCGGGCCAAGGCAAAGCCAATGCGATTGTTACGGCGATCAAACTCCGTGTAGAATTTTCGGATGAAACTGGCGCCCAGGACCCAGACAGGCCCAGTGGGCGGTGGGACGTCCAGACCATGGAGGGCCAGAGTGCACAGGTCATCATTCCCATAGGGGTCCTGGCAGGAAGCAAGACAGTTTCCCCTACTGCCTGGCACATTACTGTTCTCCTCCCTTGGCCTTGCCTGACTGCACAGCCATCCTCAGTGACATCCCCTTCCACCCCCCATCCACTCTGGGCCTCCGCTGGCCTTTCAACCCATCATACATCCTCTGGGATACAGGTACGGAGCTAGACACTGGGCAAACAATGCACAGCGCTACCTTCCAGAACTTACAGCCTGGCAGAACTTCCCATCATAGGCAAGTTACTTAACTGCCCTAAGTCTGTGGAGTATAAGAGGGGCATAAGAGTATAGGAGCACAGCATTACTGGGGGTGTTTGCTGAGAAGATGGAGACAGGAGCATGAGCCAAACCTGGCTGCAGATTGGAATCACGGGGGGAGTTTTGAAGACACGGATATCCAGGTGCCACCCTCTAGAGGTTCTGATTTAATTGGTATGGGATGTGGCGTGTTACTGGGATTTTTAAAGTTTCCAGGTGACTCAGTGGGTGGGGGGATGGGTTAAATGGGTGAGGGGCATTAAGGAGGGCACTTTTCTGGAGGAGCACTGGGTGCCATATGTGAATCACAGGGTCCTACTGAAGCCAAGACTACACTGTATCTTAACTAGCTTGAATTTAAATAAAAAATAGCTTTAAAAAACTTCCAGGTGACTCTAATTGTAGCTAAGTTTGAGAAGCACCGATCGAGCATGTGATCTGTGCATGGGGACTTGTCCCTTTTAGAGAGCCCCTGCCCCCCTTCCTCCCTGTCGTTGAGGGGGTGCCTGGAGCCTCACCTGTAACACATAGTCCCTGCTGGTAAGCGTGTAGGCTCTGCCTCCAAGGTGGAAGGAGATGTCAGGGAGTGTAGGCACCTGCTTGCAGTTCACGACATACTGGTGGGAACGTAAAGGGAGCCCTTGAGTTGAGTGTGGAAAGTCCGCCCCCACCCCCCACCCCCCAGCAGACACAGCCCTGTGCCTGTGGCTGGGACCCTCTGCTGGAGAGGGCTGGGCACATGGCCCACCCTTCCCTAGGGACCAAGCCACACGTGGCAAGAGGGAGAAGTGAGGAGGGGAAGGCCCAAAGTGGCCCTGTTTGGGACCTCATGCTTCCTGCCGTAATTTGGGGGCCTGGACCAGGTGATTCTTCCCCAGCCTCTGGTGGCCCGCACATCCGCCAGCTTCTTACTTCATTCGTGCTCAGCTCCTTGGCCCCCAAGGTCTCCATGAGCAGCCTCAGGGAGCTGGTGGGACCTGAGATGTAGGATGCGCCAGTATCCACCACCACCATGCAGCCCTCCTCACACACCAAGGTGGCCGACCTCACAGACACCCTGAGGGAGGCCAGTCAGAGAGTCAGACAGGAGACTAATGAGACACCGCCAGGCCACCAAGCTTCCCTGAGGCAGGTGACAGGAGGCCATGCTGGGGGTCCAGTGATGCCCTGGAGGAAGAAAGGTCCCCTCCCTCAGCACATGGCCTGGTAACCCGCTGCCTCCTCTCCATAGCCCCTCTCCCCTCTGTTTTTTGTACCTCTGTGCCCCCCATCCCTGCACAGAGCACTCAGAGAGCAAATGTTGACCGTGCCTTAAGAAGTGACGGCATTAGGAGAGAGGACAAGATGGTAACGGTGCCCCTCCCCACCCCCAGCAGCAGCAGCGTTTTTGGAGAGCAGGGCGGGTTGAGGGTTCCTGACCCTTTCATTTTGATCTGCCAGGAGCCAGTCTTGCTGACGCTCACATAGTGGAAATTCCCTTGGTAGTACTGGGGGTCGCTGCCCCCCAACACCACCTCTCCTCCGAGCAAGTGGGAGTTCCTAAAGGAAAGATCAGAGCTCTTGAAGACCCATTACCCCTGAGACCCAGCACCCCAGCAACAAGGGACGTTGGGCACCAGTATGGGGCTTGTTGGGGGGCAGAGGAAGGCGGAGGGATGGCAAGGTTGGGAGGCCAAAGAAACACTTCTCCACTGCTCTTGCCCCTCCCCAAGCTCAACCAGAGGTGATTCCAGGATAGTCCTGCTGCACCCGATAAAAACATCCCCAGCAAGGTCACGGTAAAGGAACCGGTGCCAGGACAGGGAGTGGAGAGCAAGATGACGATTGGCCCCTCCCCCCTCACTTGGGTTTGAGTTGCTGCAGGTTGTCCAGGTGCATGGGTGGGTGGTCTCAGGGACCTGCTGGGTGGGGGTAGGGGTGGGCGAGGCACCAGGGCCAGCTGGAAGGAGGGGTGGAAATCTTGGGCATCCAGCAGAGCCTGGGCCTGCAGAGAGGAGTTTGGGCCAGTGGGTTGGTGGCCTATGTGAATCTGGACCAGGTGTTTAGGAGGGTCAGGGCCACATGGGAGGGTTTCAGCTCCTTACTTGGAATTTCTGCAGAGAAAGAGACACAGCAGACAGGAGGCCTGTGTTGCAGGTGAGCCTCACCAGCCTGTTATCGCCCAGGGTGGGTGTTATGCGCTCTTTTTTACCCTTTAGGTGCTGGACTCACCAAGAGGTGAAGTCACTTGCTTGAAGTCACCCAGGGGGCAAGTGGGGTGACTGACTCCCTTACCTTCCTCTCCTCCCAGTGCACAATACCTCCCACAGCGTGGGGCCTCCCCTCAGGCTGGTTTCCAGTGTGCACACATGGGCTGGGTTTCCCAGCATACGTGTGCAGGCGGTTTAGGTGTGCACATCTGTGCAGGCCAGTGCAACAAATTGCCCTCTTACACACGCAGTACATAAGCGCATGTGCGATCGCAAGCTCCCATTACCCCTCTGCCAACATTTCATCCCCCGGCCTGTTCCTTCCTTCTTCCCGTTTGCTGGATTCTTCTCCCTCCCATGGCTGCCACGCTCCTGTGCCCTCAGTTATCTCCTCCATTTTCCACTTTCAGTCTCTCGCTTTCCATTGGCTTCCTCCTCCACATGCAAGCAGGCTCATGCCTCCTCTAGCATTTTAAAACACCCACCCTTCTTTTCTCTACTTCCCTCTGCATCTCCCCCTGTACCCCTCCTGACATTCCCTTTCCTGTGGAATCTCTCAGGGCACTCTACATCTGCCCTGCACTTCCCGACACCCACATCTACCTCTCAACTGTTTGTCATGGGGCCCTGCTCCCTCCTCTACCACAGCTCTTCCCGAGGAGACCGAGGAGACCGGCCCAGTGGCCTTTGCTCAATGCTTCCTGTTTTCTTTTTCTCTCTTTCGTTCTTCTCCATTTTACCTGTGCAATTTCTCCGGACCTTGACCCTCCCTCCACCCTCACCTCGACCAGCCCTGTGTTCCTGCCCTTAGGATCCCTTGCCTCTAGCTCTTACCGCCTTTCCAAACTCACAGGTTGGAGCAGATCACAACTCTGCTCACAATGGCTTCCCCCAGGCGGGCCGAACTGCATACAAGCTCAGCCTAGAGTTGAAAGGCACCTATGGGCTTCAGCCCTATGCCCCCTGTCATTGTTTGTCATGTCAGAATGTTTCCGGTCTTCCTTCCCGCCTGTAGGCTCTGTGAGGGCAGGGACTCTTTTGTACACTGTGTTCATGGCTGCACCCCAGACCCTCCCACGGTGCTTGGCACATAAGCACGCGATATTTGTCGCATTAATGGGTGAGCAAATGAATGAATGAATGAATGAAGTCAGCTTTCTGTGTGGTCGGTCACAGGGAGGGTCCCCAGGTCACAATAATGCTTTATATTCCATCACCCCTCACCCTACATTTTCAAATCTCTTGTTCTAGAGGGTGCAAATAGGACTCTCTGCAATGATGGAGATGTTCAGTTATCTACTATCCAATGTGTAGCCATAGTCACTGTGGCTGCGAGCACTTGAAATGGGGCTAGTGTGACTGAAGAATTACATTTTATTACATTTTAATTCATTTAAACTTAAGGAGTGACTTTCATATTGGACAGTGGAGCTCAACATATGGATGGAATACTACCTAATCATGAACACAGAAACATGCCAGTCCAAGTCCCCTCCTGCTCTCCCAGCTCTCCTGACTCCCTCCCCCAGCCCTGCAGCCCCAGCCCCAGCCTCACCTGCTGTAGTAGACGGAGAAGACCTCCTCCTTTAGCACCCCCTGGGAGAGGATGTGGTCAAAGACAGGGGTAACCCCGCCAACAGCCTGTGCAGGGAAGCCCATGCCCAGAACCCCATCAAACTTGGCCAGCATGAAGGGTATCAGGGGCAGCTCTGTGACCTCTCCAAACGTCTGTGTCACTGTGATTCCGCCCACCTGTGGGAGGAAGGACCAGAGGAGGCCAAGCCTACTGCCCACCCCCTGGCCAGGGTCTAGTCTAGGACCCACATCCCCCAGGGTAGAGAAATTGGGGATAAGACCATTTTATCAATCCTCCACACATATCTTCTCTTCTAATACACATGCAGGCTGTGGGGTTGCCCAGGACCTGGAAAGGGGAGAGGCTGAGAAGGTGCCAGGAGCTCCCATACCCCCTCCCCAGGGGCCCAACTTCCACACTGGCAGGACTGGGTCTCAGCTCCTCACCCCCACTATGGTGAAGGATTCCCCCAGCCCAGCCAGACTTCCTCCCCTGGTTTCCCAGACAACGGGCCTCTCATGTTCCATGTGTACCCTTCCCATAACCTAGAGCATGGGCTAGAGAAATTCCATTCCCAGAATTCCCTTCTGGGGAACGGAAAGAGTCTGATGCAAGCCAAATGGAAGAGAAAACCAAGCCCAGACCTTAATCCTAAACTCTAACCTCAACTATCACCTTTAGAACCTCTGCCTGACCCCAAAACTAACTCTGGCCATCATGGCACTAGTACTGCTGACCCTGACGCTGACCCTTACTCTGACCCTGATTTTAGTTTGGGGTCTTGTGAAGGGCCCAGCCAGAGCTGGGCAACCTCAGGCAGGTAGGCTGACTGAAGGCTGTGGGGCTCCATATAAGCTCTCACGTGAGTTCCACATAAAAGCTTCCATTCATCACCCAGTGTGGAGTTGGGAGCTCAGGCCTGCTCTGTCCCAGGCACTGCTCTCCAGCAAAGGTGCTCCTCAATTGCCAAGGCTCCAAGGTGGGCTGAACTGCACCCTCCCCAAGTATGGGCCCTCCGGTAGCAGGAGCGGTCTGGGGACCCGAAGGGCAGACGTCAGATGTCCTGGGGCACTCCCACTTACAGTCACCTCATCCTGGCTCAGGAAACCTTTGACCTTCCCAGATCCGTAGCGGATGGTGAATGCCGTCCCATTCTCCATGTAGCTGGAGGATTCCGAGGAGTCATAGAGGCTGTGAATCTCTGGCAGAAGGACATAGACTCAAGTTGGTCCAAGAGAGGCCCTGGCCAGGGAGCTGGGAGGCAGGTGCCTTTTGGGCATGGCCCCCTGTGGTTGAGGACTTCTGTGAAGGGGCGGGGGTGGCCCTCAGGTGGGAGGCTTAAAAATGAGTTTCATCAGTCAAGGACTGTGTTTCCTGGGCCCCTGTCATGTGCCCATATCTCTGAGAATTTTGTCTTAAATCAAGCATTTCAAAGTAATTTCTAGTACCAGGATGAGGAAAAGATTCTGGTTCCAGGAAGCTCTCAAGGAGAGCTTACTTGACTAAGGAAAGGGGTGGAAGACCCTGAGAGCCTGAGGCGGGTCTGAGAATTTGGTCCTCTCCCAATCTCAGGAGAGGCCAGAAGTGGACTTCCGGGTGAGCTGGGGACGTCTAGCGGTGCTATTTTACCTTGGTGGCCGATTCAGGAAAATGGGGGGCATTTTCGTCTCTCCTCTCAGGGGCAATAGGAGCAGAAGCACCAAAGCGTGTGAGGCAGGACTGGCCAAGCACGGCAGGGGGCCTGGGGAGAGGTCCCGCAGGCCACGTGGAGAGGGGGGCTCACCACATGCTGTGTAGAGAGGGCTGCACTTGGTGGAGGGCACCCAGAGGTTGGCTGAGCCTGTGTCAAAGATGACTTTGAAGGTCTGGGGTGGGGTGCCAATGCCGATCTCACCATAGTACTGGGTCTGTAGGGGTGAAAGAGGCAGGTGGAGGGGCAGGGAAGCCTGGGGCTTTGCCGGGTACCCCCTGGGGCGCTTGGGGTGAGATTAGGTAGATCACACAGCCACCCTGGGTTTCCATTTTCCAGCAGGGCCAGGGTGGGACACTTAGCACTGTCTTAGGACTTCCCTGGAAGTGAGACAATAGGGCAAAATAAAACTACTGCAAATGAAGCAAGAAGATGCCCCGCCCCTCGAAGGGCTGCTAACACAATAAGCAGTCACGCTGTGTGGAGCCCGGTCACAGAAACCCGCATCTGACGTCACATACCCCCACCTTCCTTGAGGCCCAGGACCTGGATTCCTGAGTCCCAACCCTAAACCCGCCTCTGGGCTCCTTTCCACCCTCTGTGTCCCAACATTTCTAGCTCTGAAATGGGCATTTTATAGAGCGCTTTGTGTGTCTCAGCAATTCAGTCCTGGGCAGCATGGAAAGAGCAAAGAAAGCCTTGGGCCCCAGACAGAGAGAGAGAGAGAGAGAGAGAGAGAGAGGAGACAGAAGAGGGAGGCCTGAGCCGGGCACTCACATCCAGGTAGTTGGTGAGGACCACAGGGACGGTACTGTTGTCAGAGGAGAGCCTCTTGGTGAAGCCGGTCCACTCAGCACCAAGCCTGGCCACACCCACGCCTCGCTCCTTCAGGCTTTCCCGGATGGAGGGCATCTTCTTGAGGAAGATCCTGGCCCACAGTGAAGGAAGAAAAAACCAGAAGAGTTCTGTATTCCCCCTCCCCCAAAACTTCTGGTACAACTCTCCCTAACCTAGCCTACACCTGAGGATCTCTCTTGTGCCCTACGGCCTCTCAAGGAGAATTGGCAAGCCTCCTTGAGTCAACTGCACTGGTTTTAAATAATCCTCACTTCCTTCTGTGGTCTAATTTTGATCTTATCACTACAAGGCCCTTCCTTCCTTCCATAATTACATGTTGAACACCTACTCTGTGCCTGCACTCCAGTAAATTCTAGAGATAGGAAGATACAGATCATCGATAGAGTGCCTGGGTGGCTCAGTCTGTTAAGCTTCTGACTCCTCTGAGTTCAGCTCAGGTCACCATGAGCCCTTGGGATTCTCTCCCTCCCTCTCTCTTTGTGCCTCTCCCCCTCAAAATAAATAAACTTAAAAAAATAATAATCACTGCCTTCAAGGAGCTCCAGCAGGCGAGGAGACAGAGGAGGAAACGCAGCAGTGAAGGCTGGATGCTCCCCTCAAGGCTGGACAGGCCCGGGCAGTGCCGCGTGAGGCCTGCAGGTGGCAGCAGACGCCCACAGCTGCCTGCAGGGGCTTCAGGATCCCCCGCCAGGGTAGAGACCCAGCCAGGGCTGTGGGCTGGAACCTTGGGACCGAACGGGTGGGGTGGGGAGAGCGGCCGGCATTTCCTGAGTAACTGTGCCCCCTGCCCTTGGCAAAGTGGGACTTCTTGAGCCTGAGTGCCAGTCCTTCAGCTCCTTTCTCTGGCACCTGCCTATCAGCTTTGGGAGGCAGAATTTAAAGACCCTGGGGCTGGGGCAAGGGGGTGGGGGTAATGGCGGGGGGGGGCGGTAAAGCATACTGAGGGGGCCACCTGGTGAGTTTCAAACATGCCTTCCATGTAGCCCTCATGCTGACCACAGACCAGCCATCCTTATCCTCACTTAAAGATGAGGAAGCAGACTGGGTGGCTCAGCTGGTTAAGCATCTGACTTTGGCTTAGGCCATGATCTCACATTCAAGTCAGGAGTTCGAGCCCCACATCAGGCTCTGTGCTGACAGCTCAGAGTTTGGAGCCTGCTTTGGATCCTGTCTCTCTCTCTCTCTTTCTCTGGCCCTCTCATACTCTCTCTCAAAAATAAATAAATGTTAAAAAAAATTATGATGAGGAAGCAGAGGCTCACAGGGTTGCAATGATGCAGAAATGATGGAGACTCAGAAGTGATTCACAGCAGTGTGTCTGGTGCCGTTTCCCACAGAGTGTCCCCAGGGCCCCTACGGGAAGCCTCTTTGCCAAAGCCTGAGGGGAGATGTCCCCAGCTGTTGGCCAGGGGGGTTCTGGGATTACAGCCCAATTTATGGAGACCCTGCCTTTTCTAGCTGCTGGTCTACCTGTAGCGCCCTTTCCTCCTCACACCTGGCACTCTTGGACACAAATGCAGCTTTCCTGCCAACCAGCGTCACATCAATGGAAAGGACTTGTCACAGTTGGGTCACAGTTTACTGTTCACAAAGTAGCTTCACAATTATCATCTTCTTCTTAGCCATCCCCGGGGGTGGGTGATTTTATTACTCCCATTCTACAGATGGGAAAACAGAAGTGCAGAGAAGGCTTGATCCCAAAGAGGGTGCATTTGGCACTATTTACTCTAAACAGCCTCTGCTCTGGACCCTTTTACCATTTTACTTACTTTTACCATTACTCTCTTTTCAGAAAGTCCCTTCCTCGTCCCCAGTTCTTCATTCTTCTAAGCCAGGCATGCATCCCCACCTCCAGGAAGCCTGCCTCAGGAACTCCAGTTCACAGCAGCCCGACCTCTGCTTGGGCACCTGCTCCGTTGTGCCCTGGGTGCTCGCAGCCAGCACTGAGCAGCCTAATGCTCAAGGAGGAGGTGCTGTCCGGAGGTGAGGACAGAGCTGCTGTGGGCACATTAGCCTAAACCCCTTCTTACTGTGGAATTCTGATCAACCTACCCAACTTCTCTGGGCCTTTTGTGAGCCCGCATTAGCTCCTTAGTAAAGATGGACTAAGCAGCAGTACCTGCCTCAGAGAACCACTGTGCAGATTAAACAAGCTGCCCACTGCTCAGTAAAGAGCGTGTGCAGAAGGCAACGAAAGCACCTTGAGAATGGGGTCCTGTGTTCAGATGTCCCAAAGTCCTTCGCAGGACATTGTACAAATAGCAGGCGGAAAATGTTGTGTTTCAAAAGTCTCTTTCTCCACTCCTGGCCCAATCCCGTTCTCCTCTTTTTATTTATTTTGTTTTTTTGAGCATGGGCTTAAGTGGGGGCGGGGGGGGGGGGGAAGGAGAGGCAAAGGGAGAGGGAGAATCCCAAACAGGCTCCGCACTGTCAGCACAGAGCCCGACATAGGGCTTGAACTCACCAACTGGGAGACCATGAAATGAGCTGAAATCAAGAGTCAGACACTCAACTGACTGAGCCAGCCAGGTGCCCCTCTTCTTCGCTTTTTAAAGAGAACAAGGGAGAATGTTTTTACCTCAATTCCACCTTTATTTTGGAGGTGGGGCTGCATGCAGGCACCCAGTCTCTCACCCCACATCCCTATCCTAAGAGTTAGTCTCTGGGAGCTTGGGAGCAGGTGAAAAGGCTTCGGAAACAAAAGGCCCAGTGTATGTTGAGGCCTAGCCTCTTACATGTGACCTCCCTGAGCCTCTGTGTCTTCACCTGTAAAACGGGACTGCTGGGTTGTTAGGAGTACTTGAGAGGAGATATGTGGAAAGATCTTGTGAAAACCTAGACGTTTTACAGGCTTAGCAACTAGGACTGTTAAAATCTGCCCTCTTAGGGGTACCTGGCTGCCTCAGTCGGTGGAGCGTGTGACTCTTGATCTTGGGGTTGTGAGTTCGAGCCCCATGCTGGGTGTAGGGATTACTTGAAAATAAAATCTTTAGGGGCACCTGGCTCAGTCGGTTAAGCGTCCGACTTTGGCTCAGATCACGATCTTGCAGTTCTTGAGTTCAAGTCCCACGTCAGGCTCTGTGCTCACAGCCTGGAGCCTGCTTCAGATTCTAGGTCTCTCTCTCTGACCCCTCCCCTGCTCGAGCTCTCTCTTTCTCTCTCTCTCTCTCTCAAAAATAAACATTAAAAAAATTAAAATAAAATCTTTAAAAAACAAGAAGGAAGTCCTGCCCTCTAACCTTGAGGTCTTCCCGCCCCACCACCTGCCCTCCCCACACTGCAACTCTTTCCTCTACAGACCCTCTCTCCTGCTTCTTCCCTTCTGCAGCCGTCGTCGTGAACCCAGCGAACTTAATGAGCCAGTTCCCACAGGGCCTGGCACCGGTGTGGGTGTTAGGAGGCCTCCCTCCTCCTGCCTTCAGGCTGCCTTACGCCTTTCTTTCCACGTTTCTAACAATCTGCCCCGTAGGACGAGCAACAGCTGGGTGTTTCTAGCCCACTGGCATCACGCTGAGGGCTCGCTGTTCAATTTCTTATTCAGGCTTCAAAGCAGATCTGTGAGGTAGGTGCCGTTATTATCCCTGCTTGAAAAATGGTAAACTGAGACCTGGAGGGGTTAAGTCACTTGCCCGTGCTTTCCCAGCTGGTCGGTCCTGCTCGTGGAGCAAGCTTTACACCAAGACAATTCAGCTCTAGAAGGCTTGTATTTAATCACTACATTGTTCTTCCTCCGTAGGCTTAGCCATCCCACCCCTTCTTAATAATTAGACTGCGAGCTCCGTGAGAACAAGGGGCGGGGCTTAATCACCTGAGTGCCTCCCTGGTGATCTGTGCAGGGAGCAAGAGCTCTGGGCAGGGATCAAATGACGTGGCTTTCGGGCTGCTCGGGTAGTGTGCCACTACTGGCCTATGACATGGGGCGAGCCACCTCTCTGCCCAGCTGGTCGTGAGGACTGGATGACATCCCATATCTGAAAGCCAGGGGTGTTAGGAAGGTGGGAACCCCCGCGCCCCACCCCCAGCCCGAGTTACCGTCTGAAGGCGCCGGCGTCCGCCGGGAGACCGAAGGTGCAGGAGCCACAGAGCACCAGCAGGAGGCCCCAGCGAGGCGTTCTGCTCCCCGGGTCCATGCTTCGCCTGGGTGCTTGGCTCTCTCTGGGATCCGCAGAAGCCTTGTGGCTTCTCAAGAGCCCTTCTCCTTTTATGCGCTCCACATGTGAGATGGTGGGGATTTTGCTCTGCCCTGATTTATTATCTGGGGGCACTTGGAGGGCGGCCGGTAATAAATCCCCCCGACAGCACGGAGCTAGATGGGTGAAGGGTGACCAGGTTTCGACTCGGAGCCCAGGAGCCAGGGGGAAGGAGGGCTGTGGGAAAGCAATGCTGTGCCCAGTGACGCCAGCAGCCCCCTCTCGGCCTGGCCCTGCGACCCCCCGACGGGGCAGAGGCTGATGAGAAACAGCAGTGTTCCGGCTCACGGTCAGGGCTGAGACGGGCACAGAAAACCTAGGTTTCCAACCTCCCCGCGAGACTCCACCCTCCATGCCTTTCAAGCTCCATCCTCTCTATTAACCTCGGCCGTGTCCCTGACTGGCTTCTTCCACTTTGTGTCTCAGTATCCTTCTAGAACACGAGTGACTCCTCCTGGCTTGTTCGTGACAGAGCCAGACCCAGGGGCCTCCATGCTGCTTCCCTCCAAGCCTGTGTTAGCAGCAGCTGTGGAAGGGATGGGGGAGAAGCGCCTTGTATTGGGCCTCTGGAAGCAGGGAGCTGGGGAAAGGGGTGTGTGCCCCCCTCAGTTCACCTCATGTGGGTGGGAGCCCTGGGGAGTAAGGGGCAGCTGGCCCTCCCACTCCTCCTTCCCTTTCTGCTTGACCCTGATCCCTCCTGGGCCCGTCTCTGCCACCTTCCCCTTTCCTTGCACCCTACAAACAACCCGACACAGCTCTCCATACACACGCCTGGGTCCTAAATCCCAGGAGGGGGCTATTTACTCAGCTGAGGATGCCCCCTCCTGGCTTTTCCTTGCCCGTGCTTCAGGCCCATTTCAAATATCCCTGCCTGCTCCATGAAGCAGGTCCTGATTCAGCCCAGAACTGCCTGCCTTCTGCTATGGGCTCCCCACGGTGCGATACGATCCCTTCCAGGAGATCACAGACCTCAGCTGTTCCGTATCAGAGAGAGTTACCTCACAAACGTGCATCTGTCTCTTGCCCAAAGTGGTGCTTCGCCCTTATCAACTGAATGAACGAGGCAACTACCTCGGGTCTAGTTGTCTGGGACCCCTGGGTTCTGGTCTCGCTTCTACCACGAACCTGCTCAGTGATGTCGGACCCCTCCGCCTCTTTGGGGCTCAGTCTCTAAGTCTGCAGCACGCAGCAGGTGGTAGGTGCCAGACACTCTAGCATTCTCTTCTTTGCCTTGAGAGTGCTGCCCTCTGCACCAGCTGCAAGCAGTGAAGACTTCGAGAAGCTAAAATCTCTGATGCCAATGTGTTGGCTAATGGCTATGCTTGGACCTCTGAGATTATAACACCCTTACCATATGGTGGGAGGGTTTGGTGTTTCCTGGTGTAAAACTTATTGGAGAATTTTTCAGGCACTGTGGTCAGCAGTGAGCAGTATCTGAGGGCAGGGGAAAACTTACAAAATTTTTTTTTAATATTTATTGATTTTTTGGGGGGGGAAGGGCAGAAAATGAGGGCGATAAGAATCTGAAGCAGCCTCCAGGCTCTGAGCTGTCAGCACAGAGCCCAGCGTGGGGCTGGAACCCACAAACTGTGAGATCATGACCTGAGCCGAAGTTGGATGCTTAAGTGAATGAGCCCAAGGACCCCCGGGGAAAACGTTTCAGAACCCCTCAGAGTGGGGAAATCTGTCTTGGCAGATTGGAAGAATGTTTATTAAGCATTCCAGCAGACCCTGGTGTTCTTCATTCATTAGACAGGGTTCATCGAGCATTTACTATTTGGCAGACATTTTCCTAGATGCTGAGATTAACAAAGGTGACAAAAAATAAATACCATTCCTGCTCCTGTGGATGCAAAGTCTGTAGGAGAAATAGATTATCATCACAACATAGATGTACAATAACAATGATGACCAGAACAGTCAGGGAGCTCCAGGAAGACATCTCCAAAGCAATGATACTTGGGTTGTGATCTGAAGGCTACATAGGCAGGCAATGAATAGCTGAAGAGAGAAAGAAATAGAGTCCCCATGGGAGCAGCATGTGCAAAGGCCCTGTGGAGAGGGGCAGCATGATGAGAATAAGGGCCAAAAGAAATAAGGGCCAAAAGAAGGCAGTGTGGCTAGACAGAGACCAGAGGAAGTGGAGTGAGAGAGGAGATGGGAAGCAGAGATAATAAGAGCTAACACTTACCGAATGTTTATTATGTGTCAGGTGCCATTCTAAATGCTTAATGCATTTAACTCTCAAAACACCCGCATGAGGTGGTACCATTATTATTCCATTTTACAGATGAGGAGACTGAGAGACAGGAGGATTCAGAAAGTACTGTGCCTAGGATCACACTGACAATAACATGGAGTCGGCCTATAAGCTTAGGCAGTATGTCCTAGAATTCATTACATGACTTGAGTGTCAAACCATGACAGTCCTTGAACTCCATGCTGTGTTTACACAGCGAGTGTGTTTAAGAGCACACGCGTGAACAGGCTAAGAAGGGAATAATGGTGTAATTAGATGTGTTTTGCCACGACGTTGCGGCTACAGTGTGGCGTGGCAAGGACTTCCGAAGGGTCCAGAATCATGTGGCGTATGCCAGTTAGGAAGCCAGAGCACCAGAACCAGTGGGGATTAGGGGAGGTGGGCATGGTAGAGACAGAAAAGATTGGATGGACTTGAGAAAATTTTAGGAAATAAAATTAGGTGATGGATGAGATCTGGGGAGTGAAAGAGAGAGAGGCTTCCGGATGCCTGGTGATACTGAAGGCGCAGTGGAAGAGAATCAGGATTCCAGAAGGGAAAGAGGTCTGGGGAGACCATGAATTTGAAGACCTGCTGAGTGTGGGGTCCCTATGTGTAGAGGGGGCGGGGAATAAAGGTAAAAGAACTATCCCAGGTGTGACATGAAATGGCAGCTGCACATATGGACCTGGGTGAAAGATTCATGTGTCATTTGCCATTGGTCATTAATGTCACAGATATGAATAAAATTAGCCGGGGGGAAGGTAGAGAGCAAGGAAGCCCCAGACTCCAGCTTTCATGGGGCCAGTGGTGGAGAAACAGCCTGTACAGGAGACCACAAAGGAAGGGGACAGAGAGGCAGGGGGAAGACAGCAGGTGGCCCTGAAGCCCAAGGAGAAGAGTGGTGACAGAGCGAGAGAGAGCAAAGGCGGGCGCTGCTCCGAGCTCAGGCAGGACATGGGTTAAAATGTAGACACGCGGCCATCAGTGCTGTCAGTGGGAGCTGTCTGGGTGATGGGGACGGATGGGAATCCAGACAGGGAGTGCGGAACAATGACGGGAAGAAGGGAGATGAAGGCGGTGTAGCACAGCCAGCCATTCTGAGAAGCCAGAGGAGGAGGAGGAGGAGGTGATGGCTGGAGGCGAGCGAAGACAAAGTGAGGGGTCTTCGTCTCCTCTTCCGCCCTGCCCCTCTCCCTCCCGCCTCTCTGATGGTGGGAGGGAACTGAATATGTGTAAAGGCCTGGAAAGGACTCAGTGGAGAGGAGGGATAATCACAGCAGTTCGATCAGGAGGAGGTGCGAGTCACGAAGACAGGAAGGCAGGACACGTTCACAGCCACTTTCTGTCTGGTGACTGTTCTCCTCTCAGACAAGTCGGGGGGCAAGGACCGCTGCTGAGATCTGGGGCTGGGGCTGGGTTCGGAGGCATGAGGGAAATAGAGAAGGTGTGAGATAGTTATGGAAAGTGGGAAGACGCTGGCCAGGGGAACTAAGGGGTTTTCTGGGTCCTCCCATTTACTGGCTGGAGATCACACGTAGGAAGCCAGTGTGCCCTCTCCTCTGCCTCCCCGCCACCGCCACGGTGCTTGGCTGCTCGGTGCGGACAGGACACTGTGTGACCGGCTTCACCAGGGCTGGAGTGGTGCCACACGTGGTGATCGAAGAGGAGGGACAATGGGATGTAGGGTCCCAACAAAAATGTTATTGAATGACAGACTGTGGCCTAGAAGGTGGGTGTGGGGAAGAAGTCAGGGCAGAACAGGGTGGGCGAACAGGAAGGCAGCAGAGGACCGTGAGCTGAGAAAGGGCTGTGGGGGCGGGAACAGTTGAAGCCTAGAGCCGGCAGGCAAAGAGCTGGTCAGGAGTGGGAGGTTTGAGAGAGTCATTGTCAAGGTAGAGCACTAATAGGCGAAGGCAACACCAGGGCAGGATGTGGGGGTGAGGCCACTGGATGGAGGGCACTCAAGGAGCGGAGAGGCCAGGGTGCTGGCCGGGTCACCGTCTGCGTGGATGGTGATGTCATCCAGAAAGACTGCAGAGGGCACAGGGTACCGGAAGGCTGTAAGCCAGAAGCCAAAGTCTTTGATAAGTGAGGGGGCGGGACCTACGTGACCAGTAGTGACAACAGTTGAGTGAGTGGGAGGGAAAGGTCCCGGGCGGAAGGCAAGTGCCTGGAGGGAGAAGGGTCTTCTCCCAATGTCCACGGCCCTGGGAGGCGAGGGGACCGGTACCCCTCTAACACAGGACGAAGCCAAGACCTGGGAGGGTACGTAATGGGTCCTAGTTCACAGCTGGTGCGTGATGGCAGAGTGGGGCCCTGCATCTCCATATCCTGTGATACATGGGGGTCCACCCAGCCATCAAGGTGTGGGGTGCCCTGCCCCAGAACCTCACTTCTCCCCACCTTGAGGCCTTCTGTTGCCCAAGGGTCTGCCAGGAACCTCAGGAGAGTGACTGGAGAGTGAAGTTGTCTTCTTTCCCTCTGCCCAGGACCCTGACAAGCTTGTGACTTGTCCTGGCCCTTGCAGGTGACTGACCACCCCCTCCCTCCCCCCTTCCCTAGAGCAGGAGCAGGGAAAGAGCAAGTGGGGAGATGGGGTCAGCCCTGTGGGTGGCCTCTGAATGCGGGGAGCAGCAGCACTGTTTACTGAGCATCTACCTGCTCCGTGAAGGACTGTGAATGCAGATAGACTGTATTC